TTAAATTACTAATGTTACGATTTTTGTATTTAATAAGAAAGGTTATTACCTATTCAATAATATTTAATAATGCGTTTTTAGACTTAAATAAAAGCTTATAATTTACTTCCACTTAATATACCTGATAGGTAAATTAACAGAATCAACATGCAAAATGTATGTGTATCTTTTTATTTTCTAAAAAAATGTTTTACTGTGGTTTATGTAGGAATATTATGTAACATTATGTAGGTACTTAAATTCTAAACAACCAGAAAAATTGTATAGTCTTGTTTTTCTTTAGTATTTTTATGTAATATAATATTGAGTAAAATGTTTTGTCTCCGTCTTAGTACAATCTAACAAATTATAGTTCACTGTCTGTACTCACTACTCACCAATCAGCCGAAACGATATAATAATAATATTTTGCTGTAGTACCTAAATAGTAAATATTATAAAAATTATTGTATACCTACGTAATGTTACTTCCCTATTATTCAATAATTTATAAATTCGCCTAAACGATCGGTTAATTTCTCGCCCAAATGATATATTCTTTACTCAAGTTAATTTTGGGTTATTCGCCCAAACGAATGACGCTCAATTTTTTTACACCCGAAATACGTGTACTACTGTATTAGTATACTGAATTAAAAAGTGTATGAAACAATTTTCGGAAATTTAAACCCTGTCTAGTTTTCGATATTACAGTGCTTACTGCTCAAATCAGGTTGACTTTTTCTATTTTCTACTTCCGCGGGATGTCAAGTAAAGTAGACTTTTTCCGAAGTTTGTCGTTACCTAGAGATCACCCAATGTGGTTTTACATAACATATCAAGGGTTGTTTTCGATTTTAACTGTCCTAACTAGTGACCCCGCTATATTACATTTGCTATTTTTGCTTTTCGAGAAATACTATATTTTTGCTTCCTGTCTCTCATCGTTGTGTCAGCAATCCACCGTAGGTAGATTGCCTACCTGATATACCTACTATTGCATACTGTCCGCAATCCAATTCGTATTATCTTATTTTGAAAAATCGGAAAAAAATGCAAATTTACTGGGCTGGTATCTAATAGGAATTTAAGAATACATAGTTATTAGTTATTTGAAAAAGCGGCCCACCGGGAAAACTCCCGAATTCCCGGTGGCCCAATCCGCCCCTGCTCTGGAGTGGTTGTAGATACTGGCAATGTACAAAACTACAAAATATTTGAATTAAAAATGAATTTGGTATTTTTCAACCATTTTCGGTACCTACCCAACTGATAAAAATAATCACGATATTTATTGAAAATGTTGATATAACTATAGCTTCGAAAATTTTTTATAAAATCCGTAAAATCGTATGATAAAATTTGTTTTTTAATCATGTAAAAACTGCACAACATTTAACATGTACCAGACACGAGTCAATGGGTGGGGTCCGGACCCCATGGACCCCCCCACCCGTAAATACGCCATTGTATGGGACCAGCAGGCACGTAGCCAGAAAATTTCTACTAGGGGGGCCAATAATGTTTGGCCCTTATATTACTTTCCAAAATTTTTCTTTATGAAATTCTTGTAAGGGGTATGCAATACAAAGAATCTTATTAATTTAAATAATTTACCTTTAGTTGGTAATTGGTTAAAATTATTTTTTTCACAACAAGTTATACCTAATACTTACTTATTTAAGAATTACAAAAATAGAAAGTACCTGTAACAAAAAAAAAATAAATATAGAATTACCTACATCTTCACTTATGGGATACATTTTTCATGCTATGAAAAATAAATCTACATACATATTTAAAATAATAAGCTGCTTCAATTGTATTTTTTTCAGATAAAGTTATCCACGGTTCCCCGAATATAAAAATTAAATTATTACAATAATAATTGTATTACCTAATAGTAATCACAATAGATTTCTCTCAATGTGCATAATCACATTTTTGATAATTGGTAAAAATAATTATATTTTGAATTTGGGGGGGCCGGCCTTGGGCCAGAGTATATTTAGGGTGGGCCCGGCCCACCCAGGCCCCCCCTGGCTACGTGCCTGGGGACCAGACCATACCACTTACCGGTTAATTATTCAAATAATGAATCGTTATATGTACCTAAGATTGTTTATTTAAGTTCAATAAGTTGACATGTATGGCGTAGAGTCTAGGAGAATAATAATGAATAATAAACTAACAATCTTATATTATGCTTACCTAGTTACCTGCAACTACCTAAACACATAAGTAATACCACTGCCTAATAAATATACTAAGTGAAGTAGTACACAATATGATTGGAAATATATTAAAACAATTTCGGTAAATAAAAAAAAAATACGGCCTCAGTTGTGAAATTGTATTTGTATTTTATATTATATTATAGTAATATATGATATTAAAAATTTAAATATTTTTAAATTCGGCGGCCAGTGATAAATGTTATTTGTTGTTTATTCCAAGCCAAACTGATATGATAATTTCATCCATGAAAGTGATATAAACCGTTTTTTTTCTAGTGATATAAACCGTTTTTATTTACTGTCTGGTTATTAAATTTGCATGACATATCGGATCATCGGTTATCGGTTAAAATTGATATCGGCCCATCCCTAAATTTTCAATACTCTCCTCCACAACACAAAATCTGAATGCATAATTATTAAAATTACATAAATTATTCATCAATCATAATTTATAAACTAGTCTGGGATTATTGAGAGCACTATAAAAAAAAAAACTACACCAGTACACTCCCACTTTTGCGTGAATCAATCGCTTCGTAAAGACGTAAAATAGTTATTTGGCTGGCCTGCCACCGCCACAGCAGATATAATTACCTAGTTATCTATAAACAAATCATAATGAATATTAATTAAATAATAATTTTAATGTCTCCTGTCAGAAAGTCTATAAAAATATTACAAAAATTAATAGTTATCACTTATCATTGATTGACAAAATGAGTAAATGACGCCAAATGGCCGTATCATAGTCATGCAATGCAATAAGTCCAAGTATGGGTACTCAAACAAATTCTTACAAAAAAAGAATTTTATTTATACAAAATTTTATTTATGTATAATATACACCGGTGCCTGGCCGCCCCCCTAAGGCCCTAAATGTGTCAAACATTGGCCGCCAGGGGGAAATGTCCCCGTTGCCCCCACTTAAATACAGCCCTGCCAAACAGTATAGGTAATTAATAACTAATAAGTATATAGAGTGGCTAAACAGTCTATAAATGGTATATATTTTAACATTTTGAGCCATGGTATACACACACTGTACAGGACGTACTAAGCCACTTAAAAGGAACACAATCTACTGAACAAATTAGAAAACTAAATAGAAAAGTATTTAATGTCCCTACTCCCGGCCAATATAATCCCTCTTATATCTAAGTATTGCCATCCCAGGCGCTCACTCAGGATTTTGGTTTGGGGGAGCTTAAAAATGTTCATACTTTCTTTACACACAAGTAAACAATTTGTACACATCACATACGTATCCCACACAACTGTCGTCTGTCACAATGGAAAAATCGAACGGACTGAATTGTCCAAACGAGATTTACATGCCGCAAGACACAGTCGCACAGACAATAGTCAGTAAACAGTTATATATAATTATATCATTGTTATCGTAGTTACCAATCCGACCTAATCTCCTAACTATGTGCTATGTGTGCTAGTACCTGACTATAAATCTAAAAATAATTTTTAACGAAATAGGCGATCGGTGATTTCCACAAACCTTATCACCTACTAATAATTTAACTATTTATGTCTAGGTACCTATAGGCTATAACGTTTACTATATTTGTGAGTAATTGTGAGGATATGCTATAATGTAAAAAATATTTTTTGGGGGGCTTCAGTCCCAAAGCAATCTTCCCGGGTGCGCCGCTGAGCTATCCTTATGTTATTTAATTTTTTTTGTTCGAGCATGTATATTGAATTATAGAAATTGTATTTTGACAATTTGGGTCTCAACTAGACAGTGTTTTACGACTGGTCCAGTCACAATCGATGAAAAATGAATATAATTATTAAGTGTGCAGCGAACAGTATTTCAATAAATACGAAAATACTACGAAAATAAGCGATTGCCTACTCGGTATGTCGCCCGGGGTGTGACAATTATTACTCTATTATAGTATTTACTGTGAACTGTTTTGGAGTTTTGGACTTCACTACTACAGTAATAACGAATAACTAATAAGTTATAGCAATTACAGCGTCATGACTCATGGTATCATCTATTATCTATTATAACAATATTATATAGTACCTAGGTAATTACTTCTTAGTTCCACAGATTATATTATGAACAAACTATTTTCATATAATCTGTGATGGTGGTTCTTTATTAGTTTCCAGTTAACACGGATAATAATTTATTATTTATAGTATCAATAGGTATTCTGGTAATCTAATATTGCACACGGAAGACTAAATAGTAAATTAAATGATATTATGTATTTAGTTCAGTGATCTATATTTTCTATATTTTTTTCTTTTATAGAAGGTATTCTATACTCTATAATATTAGTATAGATTTTCTTTTGGGGGAATTGTATTCAACAAAATTCGAATGATCACAAACAGTAATACCTTATTTATAAATTTAAAATGTAAAGAACTGAGGGAAATGACAAATATGACCACAGAATAATTATTCTGTGATCTCACTATACCTATTAAATTAAATGCGGACATAAATGTACATGGTTAATGGTTGAAAACCACTTAAGCTTAACCACTATTCCGTAACCTGATAGCCACCGTTGTAGAGTGGTTCTTTCAAGGTTTTCGAATAAGAAATTAAGAAATTAGTACCCAAGTCCTAAAGTTCAAAACCAAACAATAATATGGCGCCGTTGCCGGTCACGCGCACGGCCCACGTGATTGTATTTGATAGTAGTTTCGAGGGCGATAACAGCGGCGGCATAACATAATCGGTTCGGTCTCAACAACGGCAACAACGGGTCAGGGGGGGACAACAAGTTTTGGCGGTTAAAAGCGATGAATTCGTTGTGTTTGCATTGTCGACGCCACTACGGCCTGTCTGCATTGTCTACAACGTCATTGCTCCGTTGCGCCCCGCCGGTTTCGCGCCTCCGTATCCACCCGACGAACACGTCTCGTCGACGTCCCGGTCATTTACTGTACGACATTGCCGCAGAGTTTATTTCCAGGACTCGAGCAGACATGGCCGTCAATGAATACGGCAGCCGACCGTACACGGTGTTCGTCGAGGGGAACGTGGGCAGCGGAAAAACTACCTTCTTGGAACAGTTCGCAGACTGCCCGAACGTGTACCTCGCCAAGGAACCGGTGCACAAGTGGCAGGACGTGCGCGGCCATAACTTTTTGGTAAGCACGTCGTCGCCGGCGTACCGGGATACCCCGGTCGCCGCATACTTCCGGCTCTCGCCGCCGATGTACTACACCCAAGCACAGTGCATTGTAAGTTTTCGTTTTTTCAGGGCCTGATGTACGAGGACCCGAAGCGGTGGAGCTTCGCGTTCCAGTCGATCGTGCAGAGGACCATGTTGGAACTGCACCAGACCAGGCCGAAACTACCCGGCCAGAACATCAAGATAATGGAACGGTCCATCTACAGCGCCCGGTAATTACTCGTTTTGGTTTTTGATTATTTATCATTATTTTTTTTCCCGCCCTTTCTGTCATAAAATATTATCGTATTGTTACTATTATTAAAGGTGGACATTATAAGTATTATCGTAGGCGGGCCGCCACCGTGGGTAAAACCTGCGTAATATAATAACAAATTGAATTGACAGGAAATTAGTAGGTAGGTGAGAGGATACTCGTTTCTGTTTCGTTAACATTTTGAGCTTTTGATTTTTTCACGGTACCTAGGTAAGGATTTTGATCGGACCCTGTATCCCCCCACGGTTTTGTTTTTATTTTTTACACAGTTCTACAGGCCTTTGGGAAACTTTACGTTTCTTTCAACTTGCCGATATAATACGTCATGATACAGATACATAATATTATTGCTATTTGCTTAAGTGTGGTATTGTCATTGTTGCTCGCCTATATAATACATACGTGTGTGTGCATATGTATATATATAGATACGTGTGTGTATGTATGGGTAAACGGAAATAAGTCCCCATTAATAAATCAAATAAAAAAAAAAAATTGTACTTTCATCAATGTTAAATTTTATTTTATTGAAAAATTATTCAAGTAATTAGTAATTATTACTTTCACACAAGTTTTTCTCATTAAGGCCCAATAGTTCATACAAAATAAAGTTACGATGGTGTTCAATTACGAAATAAATATTATATAAATAATATTTTTACTTTATCTAATAGATACGAGGTACCTAGAGGTAATTGCGAAAAAACCATCACTTATCTGTTCAAATGGTATCTTACGATTATAAAAATAACATTTAATGTTTGTCAATCGGTAAAATTTGAGATATTGATAATATGTTTACTGTTTTTGTGTTATTAGTCTGTGTTCGTTGTTAGTTGTTACATGTAGTTTGTTTAGTGCTAAGTGATCAATAATGGAATTATAAAATCGAATAAAAATAAACGAAAGTTGCTTTAAACGGTTATATGTATACAAAACAAAAAGAATGTAAATAGAAAATTGAGTGTAATTAAATTTTTAATTTGTAATTTTTGTAATTTATAATATAATATAATGAAATTAGTACCTATAATATATAAATATTATAACATGTAAAACTCAATTAGTGAATTGAGTGTTAATACATTTTTTCCTGTTACTTTTTTTCCAGCATTCATGTGTATATGTGTATACATATACTAAATATATCGACAGTGGGGGGTATGCAACTAGCGTTTTTTTTTAAGATTTAAACGGATTGATAACCAACCAGATGTGTTTGATTCTAAATCATATGTCTTATAAATGTAAATGTTTCACAGACTGACATTCCTAACCTTAATGAATAACTAAAAAAATGGCAAATATGAAATATTATATCAATTACCAACAACTACTGCTATTTAAATTTTAAATTGTTTTTATTTCCCTGCACCTATTATTTTTCAATTTATAGTTACATAATATAATGGACATGATTTCATGTCGACTTGTTCTATAATTCTACATAATATTTTGTTTAAATTAAAAACTCTTGATACTCTTTAGCTTTCCCATAAACATAAACCAAAAAAATATTTCAAGCATTCTTTTTTCTTTAAAAAATAACTGCACTGTTCAATATTTTTTATTTTTTTTTTAATTGATCTTTTTTTGAAGCCCGGCCGACTATGGCCATTAGCTTATACACTGTTAAATAATATACTTCTTTTTTACATTTTATGGTGTAATCTGTATTTTAAGCATTTTGATAACTTGTGCACACAAAATAAAATATCAAAACCTATTTATTATAATATTTTACTAGGAAATTAAATTAGTACCTATTGAGTAATAAATATTAATATATAATAATAGATCAAAGTATTTTTGTTGTTTGCTCAATTCTATAAACATTGTCATAAATATTCTAATGAAATACCTTGTGATTATTATTTTAAATAATTATTTGTGGTTTTTCAATGTTAAATCTACATTTTATTTATATATTAATTAGGTTTTAACGATCCCTAATCATGATGAGTAATAAACATGAAAATATTTTTTTTTATCAATTTATTATTGTTTAATTTTAATGGTAAAAATGATTACTAGTTATTACTTAATAACTAACTATAATTATTGTTGTTAGATATTGTCAATTTATGTCCATTTTAGTTCAATAGTTCACAGATAAATTCAATTTGTTTTTACGTTCAACATCAACAAAGAATAAAATAATTATGAATACTTAAAAGTATTTATTTGAATAATTTGATTTCTAAACAGTGATAAACTTTTATTTTGCATATCTTCGTAATATTTTATGTAAAATCACTATTCTTGCTCACAGTAATGGCTTGTGGATTTTAAATTTTTAGAAAAGTAGTAGACAGTTTTAAAATGTAATTAAATATAAACCTTGCTGCTCTGAATTTTGCTTAATAACTCAGTCTTTACTCAGTTCAGAGAGAGAAACATTCTGTGCACCCCCCTGCTATCAAAACTGGTTCTTCTATGACATGGTGTTGTGTGGGGGAACCAGTTTTAGTGGTGCATGGCTCGTTCTCTTGCTGAACAGAGTATAGTTATTAATTAGTATGTATCAAATAACAAATTAAAAAAAAAAAAAAATGTTACCCTATCTAATTCTAAATTAGCTAACAATAAATTACAATTTTTGTTTTATACCTAAATTGTACAAGTACATATATGTCATATGTACTTGAATTTTCTAAAAATAAAAATTTAGGTTTTAACAGTTAAAACTTATATTTATGCTATTTTGGTTTCAAGTTGAGTAGAAATGTCAAATATAAATTGTTTTTATTATATTGCTAATTTGACAAATAAGCAGAAATTTAAGTAACAAAATATAATATTTACGTTTCCAGAAATATATTTGTTGAAAACTTATACAAAGATAATCTTATGGCGGCTCCCGAATATTCTGTGCTAGATGCATGGTATAAGTGGCTAATAGAAAATGTCCAAATTGAATCGGACCTCATAAGTATGGCATAATATTAAATCATAATTTTTTTTAAGCATTAATATATTATATTTTATTTTTTAGTTTATCTGAGGACTGATCCAGAGATAGCTTACCAAAGAATAAAAACCAGGAATAGGTCTGAAGAAAAAAATGTTTCATTGGAATACATACAGCATTTACATGAATTGCATGACAAGTGGTTAAATGTCCACATTACTGACGTACCAAAGAATATACCTGTTAGTAAATTTATTATAATTTAAATATAGCATAGATTTGATAAATGTTGGGATGAAAGGTGTAACGAGATATTGTTACTTCTCGTTACAAAGGGATATAAGTATCTTGTATTTAATCCGTCATTTAGATTGGCAACAAATAAATTCCTTAACAATATGTTTTCATTCATGTTATTAAATTGGAATGTTCTTAATGTTTTCTATTAAAAAACAGCATTAAAATTTTTGACTTGTCTCGGATATATTTAAGGCGTACTGAACTTTACTTAGGTATTACCACAATGTTTTACCTATATCAATTAATGCAAGTCCCCCCATTGTTCTTAAGATAAATATTGTGTATGTTTCATGTTTGTATATAATGATGTTTACTTAGAAAACCACTTTTATTTAAATAACTTTGTTTTAGTTGATTATAATAACTTACTCTTTACATTTTAACCAAATGTATTCAATTCTTTGTTTTAGGTAGTGATTGTTGATGCTAATCAAAGTATGGATTTAGTTAAAAAGCAATTTAAAGGTATTAGAGACCTAATAACTAAAAATGCATCTGCACTTGGAGAACCAAAAACAAGTCCTACAAATTCTGAAGTTGGTAAAAATATAAATGACATTCACATCTCATCTAATTGCAAATTGATGTCTGACACCTCGACCATTGTTCCAGCTCAAAGAGTCTAATTTAAACATTATTTTCTTTGTCAGCTTAAACTTATAAGACCTATATATTTTTTACTTTATATTTATACTTTTATTTACGTAAATACTTTTTATAGAAAAAATAAAAATATTGAATAAGGGACACGGATTTCACAAGGTTTCCTATATATTTTGTAATTATATATAATATAGTATAATACATATTGCAATATGATTAGTTAAAAAGAAAATCTATACATTTATACTTGTAAAAAAATATTATTTACTATGATTTTTTTTTTTTTAGTATTATAAAATTAATTTTTTTGTTTAAACTATTTTACTGGTAAATGTTACTTATTGCACATTTGAAATATATCTTATTGACTTGAGCACGCTTGGTTTAAAAATATATGTAAGCAAATAAATTAATTTCTACATCTGACATACTAGAATAAAAAGTAAAAATTACTTGATGTTAGATAATATTTTTTCATTAATACTATTATGTTAAAATGCAATTTTCTTTATAGATACCAATTGGCTATTACCAATATATTACTTGATAAAGTTTTAGAAATTGCTGTGATAACTGATAAATAAACTATGTATTTTTAATATGCAATTGCTATTGATCAATATTATATTTATTGTATGTTCATTAATCATTATTATTCCTCTTTAATTACTATCATATTGTAAATCATATTATGGAAGCATGATTTTCAAAGAACAATTTAGACTAGAATCAATATATTAAAATGTTATTTCTTATTAAAAGAAAAATGCTTTTATTTATTAAAAAACATTATAATACAGTTCAATAGTAGTTTAATACCTAGGTTAACCACTTATTACAAATCTTACAACAAAAAATCTTTTATCTGTTCTTCCATTTTTTTAAATTGCAATTTTTCTTTTTCTTTATTGAGTATTTCTTCTGGTAAATCATCCAATGATTCCTGAAAATAAAATAAAATATTATACATCACTTTTAAGAGGATGTTGGTATATGGTTTGTTTTTTATTATTTACTGGCCTGCTCACATCATAGACAATTTTGGAATAAAATCATCGGTCACCAAAACTATAGAGAATAATATTATTGAGGGTATGACATCAGATTTGTCTAAATATTGTCTAAAAACAATTTAAAATCCATTTAAATATACAAAATTTATCTTTATTTTTAAAGTCTAATATAAAGTCAGAGAATAATGACGTTTAAACCCGTTATGCCTGAACCCTCAAAAGTATTATCCTCTAATTTTTTTAATGTGGTGTTTTACTCCATGATTTCAATTTTTAATTTTTTTTTTAATCTAATTTATACAATTTATACATAAAAAAAAGTATAATAAGCATAACAGATTTTTTTTAATTAATATAATGTAGCAGCTTGAGGGACTTGAGGGAAAAATCAACCAGTGAAGGCATTTCGTCGTAAATTTACAAATTGTTTAGGTTTTTGTGTATTTAATTTAAAAGATCTCGGGGCCACTAACGCTTTAGTCTTCTAGAGAGGTTCCTGGGTATGGAGATGGATAGTAACTTTTTAACACAACGGTTGATATGATTTTCTTAATTAATGACTTAAATTAGGTTGGCTGTTTCAGTGATAGGAATGTGGAGATCTGTGTGAATGGTAAGGTTTGAGATATAAGGGAGGTGCATTGGTTATGAGCAGGGTCGACGTGGCCATGGCCACAACGCGGCTGGGACCCTTCCATTTTTTTTCAGGATCTTGTAATTTTTTTTATTTGCTTGGCGTGTTCCTAGGCTATACAGGGAGTGGGGACTCTGTAAAGTATTTATCAAAATATTTAACCAAACGTAAGTTTTCTTTACAGGATGCCTATTATAGTGTGAGTACTGAGTAGGGCATAATTGTACAAGAGTACAAGACAGTGTTAAGTAACAAGTAATATTACATGTTATAGTTTATATTATTATAAACTATATTCAATGGATTATTATTATTAGTAGGTATAAGCATTTTAATAATTTAGAAATAACTTATTGGAATTTTGATTTAGATAAATCAAAATTTTTAAGAAAATAACCTGCTAAATAATTTTCAGTAATAAGGGGGTTATCATTTGAAAAACAAGTTTGTATCGCCACTGAAGAACAGAATATTCTTTAAGTAGTAAAAAAAAAAATATCAGGAATCAGGAATTTGAAAATATGGTCTTAAATCTTAATATGTACTTAAAAATTCTAAAAATTAGAATTTGAATAAATGTATTTTAAGGGGCTGGAGCATACCATGTTAGGTAGTGTTAAGGCATTTCATATTAAATGTAAATTTTGGTTGTCAACGTGTGAGAAGTAAATGAACATTCATTAATGTGTGTAATTCGTGATAGCACTTTTCGAGATGAATTTAGCCCTAATTGATTTATCGTTATTCGTTCGGAATGCAGTTAATATTTAAAATTTTTATATCATTATGAGTGAGGATTTTTGATTGGAATACTTGAACTTTTTATATATTTGGTATTTGGCAGTGCCCCAGACCTGTATACCGTACAACCATATTGGCTTAAGAAGTGAACTAAAAAATCACAAACAATTAAAAACTTTAAGTTAATGCGATGATCAATGTTGAGCATAGGTCTGATATTCTGATGGATAAAACAAATATTGAGCTCACATCCTTTTATCGCAAATGTAACTATATATTTTGTTTTTGATTTTTATACTAAATTTTATGACAATTATTAAATCGATCCTTACTAATTCTTGAATTATATGTGTGCAAGCATAACACAAGCTTTCAATAATTTCTTCTTTTAAATCCTGTTTATTTCTACATTTGCAACCATTACAATTTTTTTCATTGGTCTCTTCATTTTTAAGTTCTTTTAAACTAAGTTTTAATGCTTTAACTCCCATTAGCGAAACATATTTTGAATACTTAGTTGCTTCCTTAGCTGAGGAAGGTGACATGTTGACTTCCATAATGCCCTGTGAACATAATTCAACATAATATTATTATATAATGGAATGAAAAAAATAAAAAATAAATTGAATAATTTACATACTTGGCATAATAAACAATATGCTACAGCTGATGTTTTTTCAGATATTTTTTCTCCAGTTCTAAATATTGTGGACACAGTAGAAGGAAAATCGACTTGCAAATCGTTTACAAACCGTTCCGTAGTTTTTTGTATCGATTCATCTTCATTAGTCTAAAATTAATTGAAATATATATTTACTTTTTCAGACACAATACACACAATGTCTTTGTATACATACAGCTGTTAAGAAATTTGAATGCATAAAATCGTCCAACTTATTGAACAAAGCATAATATGAAATTTCTTTAGCGGACAGATTCCTCATTGGTCGAATTGTAACTAAAGATGTGTTGTCATTATTTTTATTATTAACGGCAAGCCCCTATAATATGTATTAGTGTTAGTCTTGCAAATATACGGTTAGTTATTATCTAAAAATTATCAACTACATAGCTACAGAAACAGGGGCGGGGGGAGGTCAGCTGACCCACAGTTTTTTCCCCAGTTAAATGTGGCCCCTCGAAATAGCAAACTACGTAAACATATTTTATTTGAAAAAAATATGTAAGGTGGCGGATTCAGGGGAGGGGCACGTGCCCCCCTGACAAATTTTTATGTAACTACGAGTATCATATAAATGAAAAATTGAGTTAATAAAAATAATTCTAAAAACTATTAATTATTATTGTTTGAAAATGATAGTATGAATGTATTATTAATTAAAATTAAAATTATACAATTTATATGTACAGCCGTGAAGACTGAGTATTGAAGTAGAATAGTGCGTACGAAATGGTGCTTAAACTTATCAACTTATAATGTACCTAAATTCGAAAAACATGAGTATAAAAATATGTTAAATATATTATATAAGATTTTATGAAGTTGACATAGATGAAATTGATATAGAAGTGGAATACCGTTCACTATATTATCTAGTTTACCAACCAACTGTAGTGTATGACAAAATATTGAAACTGGAGTAACTGGACCTTTAAAATTAAATGAAGTAATGAAGTTCATGATATCACGAGACACGGTTTCTTTGTATTTAAATTTATATACTTTGTATAAAATATTTTATAAACTTCCAGGCAGCAGTGCAACTGCAGAAAGAAGTTTAAGCCATCTAAAACTTCTCAAAACATGCCTTCGCTCAACTATAACTGAAGACCGGCTATCAAATTTGGCCCTATTGAGCATAGAAAGCAACATAGCTCAAACCATTGATTTTGATAACGTAATAAGTACATTTGCACTAATGAAAAAGCGCAGAAATTTATTGCTATGCTCTAGTTCTTTACTAGGTATTATAAAATATAAATTTTATAAATGTATTATTTTTGACTTTTGTATTGTATTAGAATTTAGAACCACCTTCTATATCTCTTATGAAAATGAAATCAGTGATTGAAAACTAAAATAAAAAAAATATACTGCAAATATATATGTATAAAAATAAAATAATAAATATGTATAATCCCCTCTAATGATTTAAATATGTCAGGTAAATTTTTTAATGGAATATAAATTTTAATGCAACAAATAAAAATAACAATTAATTAAATATAGCTTTAATACTAAAGCTTGTAAGTAAATTTTTCATTTTACTTAAAAATATGTTATGACTCGTGTAATATAATTATATTGAATGTTGGTATCAAAATGTAAAATGTGATGTGATTTTTTTTTTTTTTTTTGGGGGGGGTCAAAATTTTTACTAACACGTACCTACACATATATTATATTATGTACAACTTTTATTAATAATTATTAGTAGTCACTTCCAGACACTGGGCGACTTTGTAATACTTAGTTGGTTGAAGTTTCTACACAATGGCCTCTCGTAAGTAAGGTAAACCCTCGGGTAAAATCCTGGGTACACCACTATACAGAAATTAATTTATTAATAATTAGCTATTATTTATAAAATCATAATATTGAACATACAAAAGAAATCAGTTACAACAATATCCTAAAGCCAGCCAGTTTTTGTTTTACGTCCGGTAGCTTATATTTATACTGTTACTGTTGTCTGTTGGACAGTCGTGTAAAGTATTCAAATACTTTTTTTTAATCGTATATTTTTTCTATTTTTTATTCATTAAAAAATACTTTTATTGAACTTGAAAAATAGTTTATATTTGTGACAAAACAAATTTTTCTATTGAAAACCGGGCACATTATAAGTTATAAATAGAGAGTGGATTTTTATGCACTGAAGTGTCAAAATATGCCATATAATATGGCAATATGGAATTAAAATTGTGAAAATATGCAAAAAAAAAAAAAAAATTGTGCCTATGCATTTTTAATATTTTTCAACTGCTATTGTAACGGTATATCATCAGGAGCCTTGTATTACATTTTATTGACATTTATAGAAAAAAACTAAAAAAATTGAAAATCGAGAAAGCCCGTGATCAGCTCAAAACGTTTTTGGACATTTTATCGAGTATAGGAATTTATAAAATAAACATATGGTGTACATTTATAGCAAAATAAGAATATTGGTACATGAGAAATTTAGTGAATATCCAATGTTGTAAGAATGTGAACTTTAAACGCTCTTTCCGATAAGCATTTTTTTTTTCTTTAAAGGTAAGCAAACTTATGAATTTCTAAATCAAAATAATTTTTGTGATTTTTACGTATCTTGTCAAAATTCAAAATTTAAATGTTCATAAAAAAAAATGATGACTGTATTTTTAATATTTTTTATCTGCTGTTGTACCAACTTCAATGGTTCAATTGGTTCAATTTTCCAATTTAACCAATAAATTAGAAGTTTCGTATTAAATTTCCAAGATTTTTGACCCAACGAATAAAATTTTATTGACATACATAGCAAAAAAAACTAAAAATGTCCTTAAACAGTTCGAAACAAAATGTTTTTAAAATGTTATTGTGTATAGAAAGTTTAAATATAAACATTCAGTGAAAATGTCATGGTTCTAAGGTCATTTGTTTTAGAGTTACACCAAAAACCAAAATAGATTTTGACGAAAATTATTAAATGTTATTTATATACCTATTAATTAATAATTAACTTTTATGAGTTAATATGAGAACCAAAGTTCAGGAATAGTTCAGTTTTTGGAATATTTTATTTTGGAAATGTTAGTATTATTATACTCAATGTGTTGGTGAGATCAGAATATCTACACTGTATTATCTACATCGTGAAATTAACTAATTAAAACAATTCTTAAAAAAAAACCCAAGTGTGGAGGGGTAATTGACACTTAATTTTATGTATTACAGTTACAATAGTGTCTTTAGAAATATTATACAGTGAAAACTTTGAATACCGGACACTCTCGGTAGCTGAAATTTTGTCCACTATTTGGAGGGTTCAGCTTGTAGTTTGTTCCCAAGACAACGTCCACACTATTAAGAGGAGTTTTTTATGGGAAGTTTGACCGTACTATGTCATCAGTAAGGAGTAAGGAACCTAGTAGGCATACCCATAATGGAATATAATATGAAGAAATTAGAAAATAAAATAATTTGTTATTTTTACTATGTCCAAAGATATTTGAGATCCACGACCTAGAGCTACATTTGAAAGCAATCGAATAGATAATTTATGTTCATTTTCTGCCGTCATTATCCGGGTACATTTTAACAGATCAGCTAATTTTGTTATCGCACGTTTACTAAAAATGAAATTAAAAAAAAAAATGAATAGATACAAATATTATAAAAATATATTTATAACTGTTACCGAAGTTTCATTAACATATCTTCTTTTAATGTAAGGTCAGATAAATTGTTAAAAATATTTTGGAGTTTATCATTATATTGGTCAACATTAGTGTCTTCATTTAAACAATTATCAGAATAAACGGCTGCAGCAAACTTTACTATGTGGTAAGATAAACCATATTTTTCAAAAAGTTCTTTAACTTTATTCACTTGATCCTTGGGATAATCATGTAAAACACTTTCTGAAATGGTTTAAAATTAATTCATTTTAATCAGTTTAACATTAACCATGTCCATGTCATTACCATCAATATATAACACTACAGGATCAAATGTTAATCTCTTGTAAGTAGATTGCTGTAGTCCTGTCCATATCATATGTAGTAAAGATACTGAAGATTGGGAGCCACTCACACATACTAGAACGCGTTCACCTCTATTAACTAATTTTGATTTGCCAATGGTAGCACGAAACTTATGAGTAACCATAGGCACAAAACAAGTCCTAAGATAAAAACTAGTTAGTTAAGGAAGTCAATTGTTGAATAATTTTTACCCACTTGCAGTACACAAATTTTTTTTGTAAAACAACATTTCCATCTTCGATTAAACATTTACGACATTTTAATTCTAATCTGTGTAAAAACAATAACGTCAACATCTCAAAATAAAATAAAATATAAATTAAATTTGTTATTTTTCGTTTATAAAAGAAATTAATAAATGATAATTCGACATCAACTCATTACAATATAAACACAATGAAATAGTCTTACGGTTCAATAGGTTTGAGTACTTCGAAGACTTCAGCACCTTCTTCGTTAACGCTACACATTGTCACGGAAAATCCTCAAAACTTCAACAGGGTATTGACATTAGCAATGTTCCAGAGTCTGGAATCCAGACACCACTACACCAGTTGGCAGTTACCAATACTCCAGTTATCGCGACCACACGACGTGCGCACACGACTCCACAGTCTGCATATAGCACGATTAACGATATTGTTCTGTGATTAAAGATATATATATATATTATGTTTAATCGTGGTCTGTAGCCTGTAGGAACTTGGAAGACCATGTGTGGTACTATCTTAGTACTATCTTAAATCGTGGTGAATACTGATAACCGATTGCACCGATCGGTGATTACCATGTACCATACCATGGTTATAAAATTAATTTACCGGTGGTATAAATATGGTATTATATGGGTTTCGGTGCTATAGTAAACGAAGTTAGCAACGGCAAAATCCATGTGACTCCTTAACACCGACACGGGCACACCGCAGTACCGCACACGACAATACGGCATGATTATTATATATTATTAATTATTATTAATTATTATGTAGTATCTACCTTGACTACCTGTATGGCTTTATATCATTGTTGTTAATAATATTTAATTATTATAGTAAAAATATCGATTCAGATTTCTGAAGAAGTACAATGGAGGACGCCAAGCCTGCCGAAGAGATGAACGGTCTGCCGCCTGCCGAAAAAACAAACGACTATGTTGAATATGAAGCAGAAATGGACACCTCTGACGAAGAGGTGGGTTTATACAACCTAGTTATTCACTGTTTAGATTTTGAATTCATTTTTGACGATATGTATATATTATTTTTAAGGACATCAGGAACACTGTTGGAAACATACCAATGAATTGGTACGATGAGTATCCACACGTTGGTTATGATTGGGACGGTAATAAAATCATTAAGCCCGAACGTGGAGATCAGTTGGATAATTTTATGGAAAAAATGGAGAACCCTGATTTCTGGTAGGAATTATTAATCAGTGATTATTTTAAATACACACTTATAATTTGTTGATCATAGGCGTACGGTTAGAGACTTACAAACTGGACAAGATGTCGTCTTAAGCGATAAAGATGTAGAATTGATCCAACGAATAGAGTCTAGTAAAATACCTGATTCGACATACGAGCAATATGCGGTAGGGTTTTTCATTACATTAATTAATGATTTCATGTATATTTTATAATCGTATGTATATTTATTTAGCCATGGATTGAATGGTTTACATCAGAAGTGATGAACATGCCCATTCGTAATGGAGCTGATCACAAACGGTCATTTATTGCTAGTCGACAGGAAGCTCAACGTGTTGAACGTTATGCTAGATTAATAAGAGCAGGTCTTCTAAAAACTAGAGAACAAAAGCGAAGGGAACGCGAAAAGAAACGGGAACGCAGTTTCTATATGATGTGGAGTACAGACGATGCTGAAGATCAACATATGAGGCGCATTACTGATCATATACCTGCACCAAAGAGAAATTTACCATCTCATGCAGAGTCTTATAATCCTCCTCCTGAGTTCTTATTCAACGAGCGAGAAGTAAGTTATTATTATTGTATCTGTAGGTATTCTACAAACAGTGTTTAATATTTTTCTTCTTAGATGAGGATATGGAAAAAACAAGAAGAAACTCCTTGGAAGCGCAAGTTACATTATGTACCACAAAAGTATTCTAGTCTTAGACAAGTTCCAGCATATCCCAAATTTATCAAGGAGAGATTTACAAGATGTATGGATTTGTATTTGTGTCCTAGAGCTAGGAAAATGAGAGTGAGTATATTTTGTATATTTTATTATTAAATGACACATTTATTAAATTATAAAATAATTTTAATATTTTATTCGTAGTTAACTATTGAGCCAGAAGATCTATTGCCTAAATTGCCAAGTCCTAAAGATCTACAACCTTTCCCTACAATTCAATCGTTGGTATTTAATGGCCATACTGATATGGTCCGTTGTATATCTATTGATCCACTTGGTCAATATTTGTTGTCTGGATCTGATGACATGACCATTAAAAGTAATGAATTTTATTTTAAAAAATATATATATATTTTGATTTAATATGTGTAATAGATAATAACAAGTTTATTTATTTAAAACAATCTAATCTTGTCCTTGTTTAAAAAAAAAAAAAAAAAATATTTTCAGTATGGGAAATTAGTACGGGCCGTTGTTTGAGGACTATACCAGTTGGAGGTATAGTGCGTAGTGTTGAATGGAACCCAAACAAAGCTTTATCATTGGTAGCAGTTGTAGCTGATCGCAAATTATTAATCATAAATCCAGGTGTTGGCGATCATCTAATAATTTCCAAAACTGATTCTATTCTATCCACACCACCTGTTCAAGCAACTCTTGGTATGTTCATTTTTGAAACAATTTTTTCTTGTCTGTTGAGTGATAACTCAAACATTTATTTTTAGTCTCTGAGAAGGTCAAAGCAGTTGTTCAATGGGACGATGCAACACCTGAAGAATGGGAAAATGGCATTCGTCTTGTGTTGAATCATTTTAAAGAAATAAAACAGGTAAATAAGTAATTTTAAGAAATTATTCAATAACTTATAGCTTGTGATTTAATTATAATAAGACTAATAAATACCTTTTAAAACAAACATAAATATTTCTAATGTTACCTTAAATATTGTCTACTATTACACAATTATGATAAATTGTACTTTTCAGGTGACGTGGCATGGCCGGGGAGATTATGCTGCTACAGTTATGCCTGATGGGGCTAACCGATCAGTTCTAATTCATCAAATGTCTACTAGACGTTCACAATTACCATTTGCTAAATCTAAAGGATTGGTGCAATCTGTTCTTTTCCACCCAATTAGGCCATTCTTATTTGTTGCGGTAAATCATTATTTTATTTAAAAATATATAACCATTGTTCTTTACTTATAAATCTATTTTATTTTTCAGACTCAAAAAAATATAAGAATTTATGATTTGGTTAAACAAGAGTTATTTAAAAAATTAATGAGTTACGCCAAATGGATTTCATCAATGGCTATCCATCCAGGTATACATATTTTGAACTTTAATCAGTTTAATAATTTATGCTTGAATTATTAAAATAAAATTCTATTATTGAATTTAAAATTTTAAAACTAACACCAAAAGAGCGGTTGATAAATCTGTACAAGATACACATGTGTGGGCTACTTAAAATAAAATATTTATTATTTTTTTATTTTTTATTTCTTTTTAAATTTTAATTTTGAGATCCATATGATCTAATTATTTAAGTTTAAAACAATGCTAGCCAAGGTTTCCTAAATTTGTACGATTATTGGCAAATGAGAATATTATAAACACAGGAACGTAATAGTACATCTGAAGTATTGAGTCTTGTAAATATTTTGGAAGTAATAGTTATCGTCTGGAACAGTGAAAGGGTTAAAGGCTTTTTATATTGTTAAAACTGCACGATACTTCTCTTTAATTGTAACTTAATAGTGAACAGTTGAAAAATTATTTATTTTTATATTTTAAAATTGTAACTTGTATTAAATTCATTAAACACTTAATAACTTATTGGTTTTTGAAATTAAAATGCTGAATTTTATATAAAGTCATTTTTTTGTTTACTAGTTATATACGTCATGTTTTGTTTTATTACTATTTTAATAAACTTATTGATATTTAGGTGGCGACAATCTTATTGTTGGAACCTATGACAGAAAAATGTTATGGTTTGATCTAGATCTTTCCACCAAACCGTACAAAACTCTTAGATTACATTCAACAGCTGTACGTTCTGTTGCTTTCCATAAACGTTATCCTTTGTTTGCATCCGGCTCTGATGACCGAGCTTTGATTGTTTCTCACGGAATGGTGTATAAGTAAGTTTATTTGCTTTATCTTTTAATTTTCTTTATCAATGTTTTAAATTATTTTATTATTTTATTTTTAGTGATTTGCTTCAAAATCCATTAGTTGTCCCATTAAAATTACTGAAGGAACATGAGGATTGCTCAGATTTTGGTATTTTTGGCGTGACATTCCATCCTACTGAACCATGGGTGTTTAGTTGTGGAGCAGACAAAACTATTAGGCTGTTTACGTGATTTTTAAAATTTATAATTTAAGAATGGTTTTGAAATATACTTGATCATACACATTGAATATTAATGTTTTTAAACCAAATTTAATCCTCCTTAAATAATAAGCATGACAGTTTGGATACCCAACTGACAGTTAATTTTAATTCTGTTTTTGATGATAAAATGTCATCATTTTGTAAAGAATAAGAGAATGGGTCTGTGAAGGATAACGGTGAAAGTTGGTACCTTGATGAATCACAGTGATACACTGATACTACAGAACAGGTTGTATCTAAGACTGGTTAATATTGCATTTATATGAATTATTTATTTGATAATATGTGATAACGTATGAAAAGGTATTCTGGTAAATTATTTTTTATACTTGTCTTAGCCTTGAGACTGCAAAGAAAATTGTTTGAGTTAATTTATTGAACTTGACAATTGAATAATAATTATGTTCGAAATAGCTATTCAAACTGTTATAAGTATTTGAATTCAAATTTTTGTTTTTCTAGAACTTTGGAATGTTATAATATAAAATGTCTTAAAGTTCAAGGTATTGAGGGTTTGAATAGTTCAAGATCCCACTCACAAGTCACAACAGAACTAAAATATCTCCTGTAGTTTGGATGAGAATAAAGAATCCTACAATAATAATTGATATATTGTATGATATACCTTGAACCTAGGTACCTATCTATCAGACTTTGTGGTAGGTAGTAATTTGAATAATTTTAGAATATACTTATGTATAGGTAATATTTAGCTACCATTGAAAACAGTTTTTAAAATGACGTTTATGGATACTCGTCTAAGGGCCGTTCTTACAATGTCTGGTAAAGTGTCGGTTAACGCTAACCGACTGATAACAGATTTTATTACCGGCAGAATTCTTCCGGTTAATTTTCGGTTAACTTTAACCGGACATCGTAAGAACGGCCCTAAGTATCTTAACTGAAAAATAATTTGCACGTTTACGTGATTTTGACGAATTCAGTCAAAATGTTGATGAATTCAGTCGAAATTTTAACTTCAGCCAATCATAAAACTTAAGTGTGGATTTAAGTTCAACTTTATTTTTAGTTACATTTTAAACAAATCATAAGGAATCCGTCATCACAATGTCAAGTTTTTTGATCGTGCAAAAAATTATTTATTGACAATAATTGAAAATAAACTTAAAAAAATTGATTATGTTCATGCCTATAAAGCTTGGAATTATTTTACAGTATTTTATTTAAAAATATAGAATTTAATTTAACCAATTTTAAAGTTATATTATAGGTACTATGTAATATGTTCTTTTAATAAAAATATATATTTTTTGAAATTATTTAGCTTGTACCTACCATTTTACTGTTGAGCCTTGCGCACTTTTAGCGCATGACAAAAGACACATTTTTTATAATTTCTAATTATTTCAAACTATTGGTACCTATTTGCTTTGATAAAATCAACTTTTGACCGGATAATTTAAATCTACATTATATTATATTGGATAATAGGGAAACATCACAATATTTCTAAAACGTGTATGCTACCACATAACAGCTGTTAAATGTTACCTGAGCCATTACGTACACCAGGTTACATACTTTAAGGGCCTAAGACTATTTTATATATAGGAAGAACAAGAACAATTGGTACCTAAGTATAGGTAATACAACTAATACATAGAAACGCACTTGTCAGAGTATATATGCAGTTATGCAAATAAGGCCATTCATTATTTTTTATTTAGTGAATTATAGTTGCACTTTAATATTTGATGTTTGTTATAATCGTCTATTCGTCTAAAATGTTCAATTAAAAGACTAAATATGACACCTAAAAATAATTTCTTTATGAAACAGGATGAGAAACCGATATCCTTGACGTGCGTGGACAGAATTTAAATAATTATAGTAGGTAGGTAGTTGTAGGTATACATAATAATTATTATTTATTTATGTTTCGATTATACCTACAGCAGTTTTAATTTTTAAAGCTTACTAATTATAATTTATATTGGATTATGATGGATTTAATATTGTTTTTTTTAAACAGGTAAATATTACCTAAACATGGAAAAATATTACTCTGAGTAACTTTTACAGTATAATGAGTACTTTTCGACGAGTACCTATTATTGTCAATGGGCACCCCTCTCATTAAGCCAATCTGTCCTATCCGTATTTTATTTGAATTGTATACACACAGTAAATAGGTACTTATACTCACTTTTTAATTAGAAAAAAATGTTTTTTACTAGGTAGGTATCGTATAATATGTTATGGGCTAAATAGAAAAATAAAAATTCAAAAATCTGGTGTAATTGTAAGAAATGTGAGGGCAATGTGCACTGTGCACAATATTCCGTAGGTATATAAAATCAAAATAATAATCGATATTTCTGAAATCGATAAAACAAATGAACTTGAATTTTGAATAGTTCTACCAATGCTCTAGATGTGCAATAACAAGAATTTTGCTTTGGCAAACGGAAATCTAATATTTTTTTGTACTAGTAATTATTATACTTATATTAAACTATTAAAGTCCAAAAAGGCTACGCCTTCATACTTTTCTTTAATAATATGTATCCTAGCAGTGGTAATTATTCTTCCTAAATCAGGCGAAACCAAAAACTTGTTTACATTTTACAGACCCATTAATTTATTGCCAACTTTAAGCAAACTCTTTGAAAAAATTATTCTTTAATGAATTCTACCATGCCTGCAAGGTACAAAAATCATATCATATAGGTACTCAATTCGGCTTTCGTCAAAATATCTTGGAATAATACTGGATAAACGATTAATCTAGAAACTTCACTTTCAAATCAACAGAACAATTACCAACTCCTGACTGCATAATTGTCGTCCTCTTCTATATAGTCTAAAATCTAAATTAAATATTAAAACCAAACTACTCCTGTACGTACCTGTGGACTGTGATCTATGAACAGTTCAGCTGTATGGTATATTAATTTGGGGCTCTACAGGCACGTAATAGGTGCTTATTATTTTTTTTTTTTTGGGGGGGGGATGGGAGGCGATTTACCTTTTTCAAAATGGTTGAGGCTTAAAAAATGTGTTAATTAATTACCGGTTACTAAAATACGGTCTTTGGGGGGGGGAGTCAATCACTCCCACCACCCCCCTAAATTACGTGCTTGCCTGCTATAAACCATTTAACATCCACCCAATTCGAGCATTCCAAAATATATAGGTCCGTGTTATTAATGGTTCCTAATGGTATTTAATACTAACATACCGTTGTACAAAGAACTAATTTATGACTGTTAATGACCTTGCTAAATTTTCTTATACCTATACGTTTCCATTCCAAATGTATTTTCAGCACTAACCCTCTAACACTCGCGGGAAGCAATAGGACTTCAGTGATCGGTCCAATCGAAAAAAAAACCTTTACATAAGAAATGTTGCCTCCCTTTCTATTACCGATAAGTGATAACCCTCCTCACCGGCTAAGACGCAACTGGAATCGCGATTTATTAAACTAATAAATAAATATAATTTAATTTGGTACCTATTACATGAAATACTACTAATATTACTAATACTACTTGTGTGTGATCTGTGTGTTAGGTTCCCTACTACTTATGTGTTACGTGGTTTTTTAATGTACAAAGATTAGACGTTAAATTGAGGCCGCTATAAATGATTGTACTCAAAAAGTTATGTCCTTCAGACGTGACTTATAACATAACGTCATAATACATGGGTACCTGCCGAGAACAGTTTTATATTATAAAATATACATTATATATTGTAATATGTATGGTGGGTATATTATTAGAAATTGTAAAAATATACTTCTTATTATTATAATCCACCGCAAAACCTAGTATAAAAAACAAAAGTAATCAATTTTGTTGTTGAATAGTTAAGACTTCGGATCTATCATAATTTGTAATGGTAAATATGTTCCTAACGTTGCTATCGTAGTTATACCAATTATTTACCCACAAGTCACGCACATTATAATTACCTACCTGTCGTTTCTGCACCTTGATATTTTTTTAAAATTGAGGACGATTCAAGTATTCAACTGTATAGGCAATATAGTGAATTGTCCTGAAAGCAACCACTACGTCTACGTGTTACATTATTTAAACTAGTTTTTATCTCGGACGCTGCATTCGATAAGGTCAACCAACTTGTTCGTGTAATACATCAAAGTGTATTGATTCGGTTTATACGTAATATAGAAAATATGTTAATTTAATTCTACAGCTACTGTATATTTAATTGCACCTTGTTTGGTTTTAAATGAGCTCGGATAACTTTTTGGGATTTCTAAAAACATAATTTACCCAATGTTGGGTACCTATAGATACAACGCGATTGCCGACTACTGCATCAGTGCAGCAGTCTATTGATGTATGCACGTAGCATAGTGGTTGCATTAAAATATATTAGAATACTTACTTGTGTCGAATCGTTTAATATGTACATGTAATATGCATAATGAATATAAAATCTATGGTAAATTACTATACTTATAATTTACAATACAAATATATAATAATCTATATTATGACATAGATTAGATATATAGGTGCAAGGTACTACATTAGACACCGACATTTTAAGAAGAAGATATTTCTTACCATCTCTTTCTGAGATTAAATATTCAAATAGTATTGGTAATAAAATAAATGCTGATCTACCTATCTCTTTACTCAGAAATCAGAATAATTTTTCGTATATGAGAGACTGGGGGAAACAAGTATTGTTATATCTCAGGGTTTAAGACTCTAAACGTTATGCTACTGCAATAAATAGATGCATGAGCATATTGACTACAGAGTGTCAATGTATCAGATTTTTTAAACAAAAGCCAATAATTTATTTTAAAAAAATGCAAATGACTGGTATTCTGCTTATTCCGGCGGAATACCGGCCACACATATAAGACCCATGAAAAATTGCAAAAAGATAGGAAAATATATTTATTTTTTTAAATAATGGTCAAAACTGAAAGTTTTCTTCATAAATAGTAGGTACCTAGGTTAC